CCCCCCCCCCCCCCCCCCCCCGCCGACTTTACTCCCCAAACTTCCAAGTACATAACCAGTCTCTCCTCAGAGGTCCCAAGGCAGCAATTTCTGCCCCCGGGTCCTAACCCCATGTGTTAATAAAATCACCTTTTTGCACTGAAGAAGTCTCAAGAATTCTTTCTTGACCATTAGCTCAAATCCCCATCACTCCAAAACCTTATCATCAAATAAATTATTACCGAATTTAAAACAAAATCCTTGATATAATGGAAATAATGTATATTTTAATTAATGAACCTCATTAACATTTGTTAAATGCCAAAGGTTATTTCTAAATACTATTGATATTCCCTCCCCACTTCTGATGGCTCACACCTTCCTGTCTCACCAAAACTGGAAAGAAAATGAGAATACCACTAACTATGGATCTGACTTTACTCACAGTAATGTATCAACACTTCCCACCTCATTTTCACTTTAAAGGATCTAAAGGAACATCAGATAGTTGTACCCACCGAATCTCTAGGAGAGGTCCCTGAGAACAGAAACATTTAACACCTTCCCTGGAGCATTTGTTAAACTACACTATACAGAGCTGTTCTGAATCATGAAGTACTTGAAAGAAAAGGGAATGGAATCTTTAAAGTGCCTAGATGATTCTTATGATTACTCATTAGTGAAAAACTGGTATAAAAGAGAAAAAGTATAATATCTGGAGCCAAATACCACAGACTCAAATTTCAGATTGACATAAACATTTAGGCAAGTCACTTAACCCCAGTGAGTCTTCATTTTCAGATCTATAAAACAGAGATGTTAATATCTACTTTGAGAAGTTGTATGAGAAACAAATGGAAAAACTGATGACAGCACCTAGCAGAGGAGAGCAATACTTTTTAACAATGTGCTTTAGCCTCGTTGATGCTTCCTTTTTAACATCTTACATTCTTCTCTTCCTTCCATTTCCACTGCCACTCACTCATTTAGACCAACTCATAGCTAAATATATGCATTACTGAGGTAATAAAGAGCATCAACCTAATAGTACAGGTGAAAGCTAGACTCTGCCATCTGTGGGCTTTTCCATAGCCTTGGACCCTCTCAAAGTCTTCAGCTATTGCTGAAGCTGTTGTATAATGGCCGCATTAAGCTCAAAAAGTCTATTATTTCAAAACAATGCAACCCAGTCACCACATACACTCCCATGTATTTGGCCCACCAGAGATAAAGATAAGCTAATGAAAGGCTAACTTC